CTAGTCATACAGGGCATCAATATGTTAAATTAAATCAGGACTCTGAGCCTGGGGGGGGGGGGCATGGTGTGTGTCTGTGAATGGCACCAACAACTGGTCCCTTGATTTATAGACAATTGCAGAGCTGCTTTAGGCTCTTTTTGCTAATGAGATTTTTGGAGTCTCTTTTTGGACTTAAAATTTCCCCTCAAAATCCATAGGGTTCTGCCCATGGATGCCTAGAATATCCCCTGGAATTCTGAAGCAGATTACAGGCAGCGTTCACACTTTGCTGTGTACGACTCATACCATCAAGATGATTGGCCCTGCCAAGTTTGGCCAATTATCCAGTTCCTCTTTGGATCTTACTAAATTCTTGGCCCCAACAGCACTTTGTGACAGAGTTCTGCAGGCTAATCACATGCTGGATGACTCTGTTCTGTATGTGCTGTCTCTTCCAACTTCATTGTGTTTGTGTTGGGAGATAGAGCAGCTATAAAGAACCACAAGGACAATTGGAGCTCTGGTAACAGGAGACCTGAACTGTGGAGTTTCTCTTAGAGAAGGTTCGGAGGTGACTTGATGCTAGACTATCCCACCTCCCTGCAGAGGAGATTGTGGGGAGCTGAGAGCTCTTTAACTTCTCAGCTCTCGCTCGGCTTTGTGTGATATCTGGGGGGTGAAGTGAGACAAATCCAGACTGGAAATGAGCAGATTTTCCCCAATGGGTGCAGTTAACCCTGGGAATGACTGCCCCAGAGATGTGGCAGATTTTTCAGCCTTTGGAGTCTTTCCTCAGAGATTAGCATCTCCCTAAGCTCCTCTCTAGCTCAACTACCAGATCAGGGCTTGAAATCTTCAAAAAGGGCAGAGTTAAGGGTACTCTTGCTCAACCTCCAAATGTGGACTGCAGGCAGAAATTCTCAGGCTGGGCTATGCAGCAGGGCAAAATGGTCCTGGGCCTTTAAATCTAGGAATGATTCCATAGTGACTTTTGTGTATCCACCTCCAGCTGACTAATAAGGCCCTCAGAGGACTCTATCAGCAGCTCTTTAGAAATGAGGTCAACATCATTATTCCCCCTTTTTAGAGATGGAGAATCTGAGGTACAGAGCTTCTGAAATGTGGAAGTCACCCAGCAGACAACTGGCAGAGCCAGGAATGGAACTGGGTACTTTCAGCTAGGCCATGCTGCTTTCTAGCTGATCTGGTTTGTTTTCCAAGGGGCCTCCTGTAAATCAATCTTTCCCCCACCTTTCAGGCATCTTGAATTCAAATCCCTAGGTCAAACCTTGGCCTTGGTGTGTGTGTTTCCCTGGGGGCAGGGAGGCCTTGATGCCTGCACTGGTGAGTTCTTTAGCAACTGGGTCCTTAATGAGAAACCTCTTCCTCTTTGCAGACTGGCTCTTTGTTGTCCTGGTAGTGCTGGGATTCCTCCTCCTCCTCCTCCTCTTCGGCATCTGCTGGTGCCAGTGCTGCCCCCATACCTGCTGCTGCTACGTCCGGTGCCCCTGCTGTCCTGAGAAGTGCTGCTGCCCAGAAGCT